GATTGTGGCCAGCTTCCATATGGAAGTTACGAAGTTTGCCTCAGTTTGTCATAGAGATGATTTACGGTGTTGTGTCTTTTTATTTATATTCCCGATGAGCCTCTCACAGGGGGTTTAGCAAGTGGAATCCTACCCAATTCTCTCGACCTGTACCATCCAACGATCCCGGGGGTACCTAACCCGCCATATATCCTGCACACATACGCCTCGCCACTGATTCGACCCTAGCCTCAAACTCACAAAGCCCGCTCCCTCCCACAGACTGAGCTCCTAAAGCCCTCGTCATTCATCCCCCGCGCAACAGATTTCCCCTCCCTGCCAAGACCTACATTTCAGCTTTAAATGCAGCACCTGGGGAATCTGGATATCTAAAACCTGAGAGTACTTCCTCATTTCTTACACGACATCCCCTGGTAATCGCTCGTGGATGAGGGTTGCAGTGGTGTAGTGTGTGCTACTGAGGAAGTTTACTTGTGCAAATTCTGACAGTCGAATGTGGTCTTTTATTCTGTTAGAACTGGAGTAAATTCAGATGACTCTTAAGATAGGATCTGCCAGTTTTAGCAAAAACAAGAATGAGTAACTTTTCCTGCTTTTCTTTTTTTTCTTGTGTTTTAAAGCTCAGCTTTTCAAAACATAGTTTGTTTGCTTAACAGCTGCTTTAAATGATTTTCTATTGTAAAAAAAATCATTCTTTGACTGGAAAATAGAAGTTTGACAGGGAACTTTTAAAAAAAAAAGAAGTGACTTTCTTCTTTCAGACTTGTTCTCAGTTGTCTGGTTCTGTTGGAGCATCAGAAGGACACAGAGACCTCCATCATGGCCACCGCTGACCAGCTGCTGGAGCTGATGTTCTCCTGGATCGAGCAGAGGGAGAGCTGTGCAGAGCAGCTGAGGAAACTGGCCCAGGAGCTGGAGTCACGCAGAAAGAAATGTAATATCAGTGAATGTGTTGGAAGCACAGTGGCAGTGGCTGGATCTGCATGTATGATCGCAGCCGGTGTGGCCACTTTGTTCACCGGCGGTGCAGCTGCTCCACTTTTAGGGGTGGCAGGAGCAGTGTGTACAGGTGCAGGTGCCACTGTATCTGTGGGTACTAAAATCATTGAGGGCTTCATATCCAGTGACACCATTAAAGAGGCGCAAGAGATAGAAAAGAAGAGCAACGAGGTTGCAGAAGAAATACAGGAACTGTTTGAACAACTAAAGGTGGAGAGTTCCTCCACAGACCCAAATAAACAGGACCGACACGGTATGACTGAAATTCTGAAAGCTATAGCCAGACGAAGTGGACTAAAGGGGAGGATCCGGATCCGCAGGCTTGATAAAGAGCTACAGATTCTATTCGACAAAGAACAGTCAAACGAGAGGCTCAACCAGACCTTATTAAACCCTGAAGTGATAGTTGCACTTGGTGGAATTTTAGCATTTTTTGCACTTCAGCTTCGTGGAAAAACATTGAAACGTTTCTTGGCTAAAGGAGCTGAGCAACTGATCAAACATACGTGTAAAGGTAGTGCTCTAGGAACTGACCAGTTAATCAAAACTGGTGCCAAGGGAGCTAAAAAAATTATCAAACAAATGTCTTCAAAAGCCCTAAAAGGAGGTGTCATGGTAATACCAATATATATTGTTTGATAATCACACAAAATGATCTTTATATTACTACACATCACACTTTTATTATTCATGATTGATAATTATTTCTTTATTGTCTTATAATATTGAAAATTATCCATATTCATATCATCAGGTTGTAGGAGGAGTTGTTGGACTGGCATTTGAACTTCCTGAGGCGATTGACATCTGGACAGACCTGATCAAGAACAATCATGTGACTGAAGCGAGCCAATCACTGAGAGATACAGCTGATGCCATTCTAGAGATCACCGGGACGCTGGGGGAACAGTTCGACATAATCGAGTATGACGTTTTCTGTGATTCTAACAAATAACAATCTCACCCACCAAGTGGTATCGATGACCTATGAGCAGTCCAAATTATTTTACTTAGAGATACTAAAGCTAACGCTATGCTAGCTAGAAAACGGATTGATTGATTTTATTCATTATTTTTACAACATTATTTTTCAAGCCGCTCCAAATAAAGATACATAGATGTATTAAACCATTTCAAACACAGAAGACAGTATTCAAGGCCCTTCAACATGTGTTCGATATGGGATGAAGTTCGATATTTAGGGCCCGAATAGCAATAGTGATTGCTCAGATTATTCTTATTACAGCAATGTAATCGTATCTCATAATACGAAACTCATCAAACGCTGCACACATTAGCAGTGCTAAAAAGGTATATATTATATGGGTCTCGCACATGGGAAGATATAATCTTCCTAAACCCAAAAGGAAGTTAGTTAGTTTGGATTCAATGTACAACATTGGTGCCATGTTTGTCATTTCCACATATTGTATTTTAATCTATATAATATGATATTATGATATAATATAATATAACAATCTTCTCCTAGAGAATTGATTGCATCTGCTTCACAGTTGGTTAGTATACTCCAAAGACTTTTGCAGTTAAAAATGTTGATATTTGTGAGTTTTCGTTAAACGGCATCCACATAAAGATATTCAATCACAGTCGCAGTGCCCCCTACTGGCAACAGGAAGTGGCATGTTTTATACATTAATGCTCTTCCTAGCAGGTTGATGAGATCCAACTTGAATCTGCTCAGGAAAAGCTTTAAGACCTTGATGATGTTATAGTTTTATGAATCTTGTAAGTTTTCACTGAACGTCGTGATCGTGGCATGGCGTCAAATTTTGACCACCTGCTTGAAACAGGAAGTAAGCCTTGTATGAAGATCATTATCTGATTTACATGACATTTTCATGGTATGGTCTACACATGGTGCCTGCACATAACATGACTGCAAGGGCTGTTCATTGCTGCTTGCAGCTGAAATGAATTTTAAGATGAACTGGTGCACAAAGGAGTGCCTCAGTCAAATCCTGAAACCCCATATAACATATCTCCAGTTTGATGGTAACAATGTGTATTTACAGGAAGTGGTTGGGGTCAGAGACAATGCTGTTGGTCAGCCTTCATGTGTTATTATTGTAGGATGAGTTGTAGAGTTTCTCAGGTCTTGACCTTCAATCTTTGAGCAGATTTTCATTTGGTGGAGCAGTTTTGACTTTAAAGTAGTGGACAAACACTAGCACCATGTCAATACAACACTGTACAGCAGGGATGAACATAGAAATATGAAACAGAAGAAGAATTTCAGATTTCAGGTAACAGATGGTCTATCATTACACGATAATATTTGTATAAAAATACTGCAAACAGAGGCTTCCATTGGACACATTTTGAGTTATTATATAAATCTTGTTTCAGGGTAAATTTTGTTTGTTGGCAACCACTGGTGTTTGTCGAATGATGCTAACTGTACGTTCACTTGTTTCATTCACAGGCAAATGTTTGACGAGATGGTGAAACGTCACAAGGAAAAGGCTTCCAGATGGAAAAGACTGATGTGCTGCTTGTGCTGCTGGTAATTTTTCCGTTTATTTGTTTAGATTTCAGCTATCACAGAGACAAAATGAAAGACGTGAGGGAATGAGGTGATGAAACTGAGCAGACTAGAAGAGAACCTGAGACAGAAACAGAGACAAACCAAGAGACAGGAAGTGATAAGCAGGGAGGGGTGATCAGGAGAATGAGGAGAGTGGAAGAGGAAGAGACAGAAGAAGAACAATATAATAATTTTATACAATATAATATAATAATAACACCATAATAATTAATGTTACATTCAGCTCTGCAGAATGAGGCCAGACCAGGTAACCAGAGAATGACAGAACAGGCCCCCGAATCTGGCCTAGCAGCAACACAACCAGAGGCCACAGCAGAGACGACCGCCACAGATTGTGACTTCTGAACATTTAGAATGATGTATTACTTGGTAAATATATTTGTTCTTCATTTAAAGGTTATATAAAATGTACAGCTGTGCAAAGATTATGGAAAGGATCCCTGCAGAGATAGACCTTTTGTTTAACCAGAAACAGACGTAATGTTGCTTGTTATTTACTTCGAATGCAATTATTTTCACTGTGGAAGCAACCTGACAGACACTCTGCATCAAGCTTCGTTATTTATTGATTTAACTGTATTTATGGGGAAGTTAATGTTAGGATTATGAAAATATGTGTTTGTCAGGAAACTGTAAATATATTTCATTTGATGTCTTTGAACAAATGACCAGAGCAACTTCAATCAGTCCCTGAGTGTAATCTGCTGCTCAAACACCAGATGGCAGCAGAGATCAGTCAGAGTCAATCAATACAGCTGTTAAAGTTCCTGAACTTGGAGAGACAGTGATACCTGTTGAGGGCATTTGGTTATTAATTTTGTCTCTAATAGTAATAATTTTATTATAAAAGAAGCTCATAAAGTCATTGCTTAATTAAGCTCATAGAGCTGTTTGAAAACTATCTGTTCAAGCCCCTGGCTACAGTGGGCTGAAAGAGGAACTAGGGTTGTTCTTATTTTTTCCTCCTATTATTGGGTTGAAGTAAATACTCTTTCTGGCATAACGGAGGCCTTTTATTTTTTTAGAACTAATCTTTCCAAATTGAGAGATTATTCTAATAAAATTCGAAAGAGGCAACCATTTTCCTTTTCGGATTTTTCCACGCTTTTTGCTTTTAATTTGGCGGGTTTGGTGGGTTGTAAAACGGTGCATCTCTATGTTTTATACTTTCCAACTTCCGGAAGTGAAGCCCTGCAAGCACTATTAACAGATTAAATCAGTTTCGGAGGGACTAAGGTTATTTATAGACTTCTGTTTATATTTCAGAACATGATATTTAATTAAACAACTGAAAATGGAAACCTCCCTCTTTAAATTTTATAGTACAGCAGCTGTCAGATAGAAAATCTGCTGTTAGGAAGTTTGCTAATGGCTTTTTATAAATCTAATATATGAATCAAAAGTTTACTAAAAATAAGGGTAGAAAAAGGATTTGAAGGGGAAGAATATTTAAAATTTCAATTAATCAATGCCCAATATTGAATTAGAAGAGGTTCAGAGTGTATTTAAAACATGGTTTGGTTTATTTTCACCTCCGACAGAAGCCAATTATCTATTATGATATAATGCCGTTTACTAAGTACTTAACTAGTAGCCATTTAGTTTTCATTGGTCAAAATGTTAATATTAAATATTTGTATAGCAATTTTGAGGATATAATAATTATTTTCATATTCATTAATTACATTCTGACTATTCAAAACTGATTCACAGATGTCTTTTAATATTTAATTGAATATATATGTAAGTAACCCCTTTTTACCAGTAAGAGTAACAGTTGAGTTTAGTCTATATATATTGTAGATAACTTTGAACTATTTGAAGTAGGAGAAACATTTTAGTACAGTGTGTATCGTGATGAGATTTGTATTGTTGTAGGCCACGGCCATTCGTGCCTTAAAAACATTCCGTCATTTTGGATCTGTAATTGGTTGCCATGCATTTAGCAGGCCAAACCATATTATTTGTGACTATATAGATCACAGATTCACCAACTTTTCTCCTTGAGGGACCCCTTTTCAGTCAGTGACTCAACTGATGGCCCCTGCTTAAGTGACATACGTTATGGATATTTCATATTATATTTATACTGTTCATTCATATTCAAACTGTACAATAAACCGAAACAGTGAACAGTGAAGATGAAGATGAAGATGAGATGAAGGAGAAACACAAGATCACAGTCAGTTGCTTAATGGAAAAACCCATCATCTGAACATCTGAACAGAGAGACCATTATAGTGGGGAGTGCTATGTGCATAATTCATATCTATGTTCAGGATTAGAAGAGTATATTACTACTCAACTGCTCGAAAACATGTTGAGAAATAAAGAAATTAAATCTCCAGTATTTCAGTGTCTTATTCTAGAATGTTGAAAATAGTAAATCATTCCTGACAATATGAGGTACTTGTGCTCTACTTTAGTATTTCCATTGTATGCAACCTGATACTTGCATACAATCCACTACATTTTAGAATAATCATGTAACATGGATGTTAACTACAACCAATCACAATTTTGGTTTACAATAACTTCTGGGTAGAAAACCGCTGACAGTTAATGCGGTGCATTTTTGATCATTTATCTGACAATGACATGGCCTCAGCCTCTCTTATAGGACCGGAGCTAAATTCAGTTACTGTAAATATCAGCATCTATTACAGTATATGGGATGGAGGCATCAGTAATGCTGTGTTGTATAACTTAAGAATAATAAAATCAGGAAAATTTGTCTTCCTCAATATTAGTTGTGTTCTGGGTTCAGAATGATAAAGACAGTCAGAGAACAATTTGATAATAAAAAGGATGAAGGTTTTATTTGGCAGGTATGATGTTTTTTAGTACCAATAGCTGCTGTCAGTGGGGGGAAAAAACCTGCTCCCAGACCCCCCCATCTGCTGTCCCCTGGTGCAGAAAATCTGCAGCTACAAGATTACAAGAAGTCACATGATTTACAGAAAGTGAGCTGCAAGATGAAGCTCAGACTAGGGATGGGATTTATGGCTGAAGGGAGCTGGAGGATTGGATATCCTTTCAAAGAGCCGTTCAAAAGACTGGATCATTTTTATATTTATTTCTTTTTAAGAAGCTAGCCTGGGGGAAAGAATCACTGGGAGGAATGACAGGGTAAGGTTTGGATCAGAATCATTCACACTTAGACAATATATATTAAATTGGTGGGATGTGTAAGTTTGAATTATTTTGAAATATTGACGTGCCACTGTGTCGGACAACTCAGATGACATCAAGCTAAATTTGCATATCAAATTGCCCCCCCCTGTGTACTCTGCTACACTCCTTCCCTTGTTGTGTGTGCTCTCTGTCTCTGTGGAGTAGCAGAGGAGCTTGTGTGCGCATACTGGCTCTCGACTGCACCTCAGTTCCCATCGTTCATGTTAAAGTGTCGTTCAATAGATTCGGTTCGTTCGTGAACGTCACAACTCTAGCTCAGATAAGAAACTCTGCCACAGTCAGACAGACGGACAAACACGGAGCCTGACTTCACTTTCACACTTTATTCAAACAGAACTTCACAACAATGCACAGCATCTGCAGCAATTCGGGGTTCAGTATCTTGCTCAAGGATACTTTGGGGGATCGAACCAACAATCTTCCGATTAGAGGACAGCTCTTCCTCTGAGCCACAGCTCAGAAATACTTTAATAATCCCAGGGGGAAATTACTTTCGTTACATTACTCCATATATAGGCTAATAGACATACATATATTAAGAATGAATATAGATATTAATATAGTATGATTTAAAGTCACTTTCAAATATGCAAAAATGCCAAGTGTAAAGTGGTCGCAGGCTTCCTCTTCAGCAGAGGCACATAGCAGGAATGGTTGGCTTTTGCAGAGGGAGGGATTGAAGATAGAAGATGATGATGTGCAGGCATCTTCTCTCGGTAGATGATAATTGGGACGGGAGGTTTTTTTCAACGGCAGCAAGGGTTCTTCATCCGGGCCACAGGAGCTGGTTCTTTCTCTCGGTCCAATTTTCCGGGTTCCCGTCCGGTGGTGTGGAGAACAAAGAGGGGAACAGGACGGTCGTAAATTGTCCCTGTTTGCAGCCATGTTCTTTCAGGTGAAAAATTCCCAGCATGGGAAACTCCCGGTACTCTTGCAGGGGCTCCGGCGTTAATGGCCGTTTTTTTTTTTCCCGTTCTTCCAACCTTTCCCTTTTCTCTTCCCCCGAACGTTGCTTTTCCTCCCTTCTGCAATTCCCGGTTGTTTTCTTTTCCAGGAGTCAGCGTGCCTAAAATTTTTCAAAGTGTTTTCTGTTTTTCCCACTTTACCGACCGGTTGTTAGTTGCCAAAGCTTGTTCTGTCCCACTTGTTACCGACCGGGGTGTTAAGTGCCTCCAGGGGCTGTTTTCTTGGTCCACTTGTTTTTTTACCGACGGTTTTAAGTTTTTGCCCAAATCAGCTGTTTCTTGTTTTTTCCACTTTGTTTAACCGGGACTTTGTTATTGCCATCAGCTGTTTCTCCGGAGGAAAAACAACCGGGCAGCGCTGTTTTTTCCCGATGGAAAAAGCAAAGATTAAAAAAAACCAACCCAAAATAAAACACAAAAAACTTTTTCTTTCTCGTTTAAAGGAGGGCAGGACTTTCATTGAGTTACAGTGGAAAACCATAAGAACGAAAAAAAAAAAGAGAAGAAAAAGTTAAAAGTTAAAAAAAACGCAAAAACTTAAAAAGGCTTTGAAAGTAAAACGAAAACAGCGGCATTACAAGGCTTTTTCGCGCAGGCCCAGGTGAGAGATTGATATTTGAGTTAGATGTTACACCGGAACCTGCACTTATAATCGTCCAGTAAATTTAACCAGCTTTTTAAACTGCAGTAAACGCTAAAAAATATATGGATCAGAAAACTTTTTAATTCTAGGTCTTTTGGCTTAAAATTTCAAAGTTAAACCCACAAATATTAAACTAATGAATTCTCTTGCGTTTTTGGACTATTTTTCTCTCTTCCACCAAATAGGCTTTATCGTTAAACTCCGGTGCTCGTCTACCATGTTTTTTGAAAAAACTATTACAAATTCTGGCAATGCACCACACCAACCTGGATGCGGAGAAGACTGCCTTTTTTCAGCTAAAGCAGCTTGAGTAACGTTAAGCAATTTTCCAGGAGATACACAAAAAAAGGCAAAAACATAACAAAAACAATTTCCACCCCAGGCAATTCCAAAACCTGTTATTTTTTTAGCTTCTCCACAAGGCTGAACGGGGTTTCACACCAGGCTTTTTCTGAACTGTTCCCTTTCATTATTTTTACAAAAAAACAGGAAAAAAGAAAACATCGGCCAAGCTTTCTTTGTGACTAACAGTTTGTTAGCCACAAGGTAAGCCGCAACAAGCATCTTAATTTTGCCAAAAATTTTTCGCAAAAAGGGCCTATTCCTACTCAATGAAAAAAACAGTTAAAAACAACATTTTAAAATAGAGAAAAACTTGAGTTTGGGTTGGGAACCAGGAACGTCATTGCGTTATTGGTTTTGGAAGAAAAGGCAAAACTTTGGCAGGTTCCTCGGGTGGAAAACATTTTTTCTTTCAGATGGATTAAAAAAAAACAAAGACGAAACAAAAAGACCAAACATTGGGTTTCCGCCAAATATAGGCTTGAAAACGGACGCACAGGTTAAGGGCCTTGTTTGTGGGCAAAAAAACACTGCTGTTTGGTTCTTTCATAAATGCGATTAAGAATTTACTTAGGTTTTGTTCATGGAGATGTTTTTAAGTTTGCAACCCAATTAATCAAAAAATTCCTGCTTGAACTTTCTCTTTTTTTCAGAATTTTTGATTTTCAATTTTTTTTAGATTTATAGTGGCAGTAATAAAAAA